GGTTTACTTTCCATGACACGATGATCATTTTAATATCTGAATTATATGTATACCTGATATTTATATTGGTTGCAAATCTTTCCCAACAGGTAATTGTTATATAACGCCTCTGAAACAGGTGAACTGCAATGGAGCCTAATCCATGAGCAAATTTCAAAGCTTGGAGACTACTGTCGGACGCAACTGTAACAGCTTTGGTATTAATATTACAGGATATCTCGACATCGAACGGCACAAAATTATAGGTTAGATCAAAATTTGATTATTCTTTTCAACTGAGTGCGTAAGGCAAGAAATTCAAGCAAAGGTGACGAGGTGGCCAGGCAGACATCTGTGAAGGAGTAACTGCAGTTTTTGCCAATTTGAATGAATTTCCACCAGAGAAAACCAAAATAAATTTTATGCCATCAGCGGCATCTAGCGTCTCTCTCTAGGTAAGATTGATGCGGCTAGGAAACCAGCAGCTTTTGTTGAGGCCGTCTATTCTTGTTAAACGACCAACATGAGATGGCGTGACAGTAGACGGAAAGTGAATTATTCGATGGTAAACATGTAGTTGTGATAATAATGTTGCAAATATAACATGAAAGGCATGCTGACAGATATGCAGACACGAGTATAGTTTAGGCTATTGCCAGTGAGCGTCCATTCAACATTTCCTCCACAATAAGTTTGAAAATCATCTACTTGGTTTTCGTCGAGTGAGGATTTAAGACTATCAAATATCATAATGATATCGTTACGTTTACTTACATTAACTCAAGACCCCCTGACATATCTTAATTGGCAATCATAAGCAATATTATATTATATTATCTACAGATATTGTAACAAATTTTTACACCTGTGCAAGGACATATTTTAAAACTTGAAAATTTATAAGATAATTTATACCATTCTATAAAGACTTTCAATTTAAAAAGTAAATGTTGTAAACAACATTTCACTTCCTTGCACTATTTACATTATTTGGTCTGTTATCATCATCTTCATAGCCATATTCACAACTTTTCAGCAGGAGCTGCATTCGCTGGTTCCCAGACTTCATGAAGTCAAGCGCCCTACGAAGCTGGCATCCCGCTCTCACTCTTTCACTGTCGAAACTATTAAATGTAGCCGTATCTTCTACTCCAATAGCTTCATATCTCGCACCTCTCGCCTTTTTTCCTTTCTCTATTCCATTTTCCCTGAGAGTTATAATCTCCAAATATTCAAATGCAATGTCAATCGACATCTCCAGTTGCCTTGACCTATCCACTATCCTTCTCCTCATCCTTTCCTCTATCACTCCTATCTAATCTTGCTCCAAATTTTCTGTAACCCCTTGTGTGCTAGTGGCTTCCCGCCTTGTTTGGGGTGAAACGCTTAAAAAGAAATGTACGCTCCTTCTTCATGTAATTGGAATTTCGAACCGAACCCTTTATTTTATCCACTGGGAGAAATGTTCTATTTCCACGTGCCACGCATCTTCCGCAGTTACTCCCCTTTATGTCAACTTTCAAAGATTTGGTTCACCACTACTGTGACCTGGTATTGAACTCACAACTCTTTGGTTCTAGTCACTTGATCTAAGCAACGTCTTTACCCACTGGGTTATATGACCTTGAGGATAATGTAAATAATGCAAGTAATCATAATAACTCATCTCACAGATAAAGACAAACACTTCACTTATCACCAACAAAAGATTATTATTAAATATTGGAAAACGTATTATTAAATCAGCTATATATGGCTTATTATAAACTGACGGAGAAAAAATAAGCATGACTAACGCATCAATGTGTGAGATTTTCAGGATATCTGCTTTTTGGTTGATTTTCGCCATTAAATATATATTTTATTTGTCATTGTTTCTTTAGAAATGATCGTCTCTTCACGTGATAATGAAACATATTTTGACTCGCAAAAGATGAAAGGATATTCATTAAAATACTTTATAAAGATGTTTATAATGGTGACGGTTTGTAAATATTTAGAAATATAGTATTATATGTAACTTTTTTATTTTATGCTTATCTTTATCTATCTTATATATTACAATATATTTTAGTAAATGCACACATTATATATTTTTTAAGGTGGATGCTAATAAAGCACACAAAAGAAGTGCTCATTATCAAAAATGCAGAGCATTATATAATGTTCTTAATTATTTTCCGCTATATGTTGACTAACCTCTAATACAGATTTGTTTTAACTGTGTGATGATTTCGTGAAAGCGTATGAAATTAGAAATAGTGGTGGGTCTATGTACACCGGAAAATAAGAAAATAAAATTATATATGAAGTTATGCGGATATAACTCCAAAGTATATTTCAGTTCGTAATTTCTTATTAATATACATTCAGTAAAATGTGACAATGGCTCCACTGCATAGGTACGCCAAGAAAACAAAACAATCCTAGAAATAGACACCATATTATTATTTTGTGTCATCTATTGGTGAAAAACGTCATAAGTTTTGACAATTTTCGTTTATCCAAGACAATGAAAGAAGTAGCTCGCCATTTCTGGACAGCAAATATAGACAAGCTTTAAATTTTATCAAAATGATGAAGTTACATAGTAATAAATAGATACAAAAATGGATGACGACATCAGAGTTTAGAGCATCCGTTATTTTTTTTGTTTTATTTTTGTTGGTATGCGGTTGTTTTAGATCGCCAGCAGGAAATGTCTGCTTAGTTTGAATTATTGTGTGAGTCTGCGATAAAATAATAATAAAAAAAAATTCCGAAACGTCGCAGTCATTTACTGGCAAAATAGAAAAAATTCAGGTCATATATTTGGAAGTAAACTTTTTATTTTTCCGCCTCGTTATGTTATATCTCGTTCCTGTCAGAAAAATAACGTTCCTTTAAGAATTGCTATTCTAGTTTTCCTTTCACAATACCGATGCCAAAATAAGGCCTTAATTGGCCATATTTTCTCTAGATTTAGCGTTAATACTGTTCTTTTTTATTTGTAAACAGTTAATATTACAGGATCGTATTCAAAAAAGATATCTTGGCTATTCCAGTTTTGGGTACAGTAATCGTAATAAAAACAGATATTTTCTTTTACATGTGATGGATATGTTTTATGCAAGGAAAAATAGTAAAAAAAAATCCATTGAGAGAATAAGACCTTTCGGAACAGTGCGTATTCTATACAAGAAGAAAGTTATAACTAATTAGATATTATAACTAAATAAATAATTATTCTTCTACATACTATGAATTAATTCTACAAACAAGTATGTATTCGTGTCTGTGTATGTGTGCCTGCAATAAAATTCGTAGAATTACAAATACATTAAAGAAATTCAACCACTCAAGCAAAGGTGTATCAAAACAGAAAAAAAATTCTGAGACGAGTGTAAAATGGATTGTTGAGGTTTGTTCATCTGTGATCTCGATGAAAAGCTGCCGGGTATAAACAGTATTAAAAGTTAAGTATTACCATTAAAAAAAAAAACAAAAAAATAAAAACGAAATAAAACAAAAAAAAACGAAATGACGAGTACTGAAAAATATTGCAGAAAATAAAAAAAAATCTCGAAAGACGTTGCAAAAAGAGTCTATATCTTGGACATCTTGAGAATCTGCTAGACGTGTGTACTGCTTGTTATACGTAATATTTTACTACTGACTCTCAATAGAAGGCCCAGGGGATAATGAAGGAGTCTGTAGTGTGAATAGTTGGAAGTGATAATAGACGCAGTTTATGAGTAGGAATAATAAGGGTTAACCTAAGACTTGATCATGTTAAGATTTTAGTAGTTGGGATAGTTTTCCCTTGCAACTCGGTTCCATAAACTGTTTCGGTCCATGAGGGTGGTTTGCTTCAGTGTACGAGACGCGGCAAGTCTTAACTCTGAATGTTAGAGTTGGTAGAACTAAGAAATATATATTGATTGAACATTTTCCACGGACATAGCTGTAAAACAGGGTGAGGTTTGCAGACAAAGGAAAGGGGTTGCAAGTTGGAAAGAATAATCATCCACAAGGCTGTGTAGAGACTTTTAATGAAGACTGTGCAGTGTCGATGAATACACTACTCTGTCTAGGAATGATCTGACATTTGTAAAAGCAGATCATAGAAGGTGGTGTCAAGTATATACTACATCGGTGCTATCAATGCAAAGATCGATACTGCCATCAAATTCCACCGGGAAGAAATATCAACGATTACACAACAATAAATAAAATCGAAAACAAATTGAGGCATGACATTGTAGATGATATATATGCGATTACCTCAGACAATAACAAAACAGAGGTACGTATATTAAAATCTCATTCAAGTTCGCCTTGCGTTTGCGAGGACCATTAACCAATTACGAAGCCTAATGCTTCAGAAATAAATATTTACACATGATCAGTTGTATGTTGCATGCTCAAGAGTAAGAAATTCTAAGGATTTATTCTTCGCTGTTAAAAAGTAAAAAGTATTTAAAAACTCGTTAAAAATATTAACCATGAAGTCCTATAAAATTAAATTAAAGGAAATTTTAAGTCGCGGAGTAGGGTTTTAATTAAAGCGATTTTTCTAAACAGATCAGCTCATTACAGTTTCCTCAATTGCTTTGCGAAATTGAACGAAACGTAGAGTTTGTAAATCTCGACAAAAATGGTAGCGAAAACTTCGAAAATACTAAATACTGTGAGGATTTGAACATGCTTCAGTGTGGTGCTAAAAAAATCTAGTGATTAGATGTAGACCTTCATTTAGCGCAGAACTTCACTTTTTTGATAAGTAATTAGTGTGTGACTGTGTAGAAACAAAAAAAAGTATTTTATACATGAACCCTCTACACAGTATCATTGTTTAACTCCCTGTATATATTCTGTTTTTTGTAGAAGTAAATCTTCTGCGTACCCTCGATTCTGCGTGTCAGGGAACGCACCCACGCACACGCTCGAGCGCTTCTGTAATGGTGCGACAAAAAGATAGTACACCACTCTCCCTTTGCGTGATACTAAATACTAAGAAAGAAAAAAATAGTTTGGGGCTGTTAAGAGAAATAGGGAGAGAATGAGAGAAGATTAGGTACAGGGGAGTAATTACTGCATTGTACACCGGGAGACCAATGGAACGGGGAAGGTGGGGGAGAGTGGAGTTTGATTAAAATGTTACCCATTCCGAATACGAAATTAGGTGTGTGAAAAGGGAGATTGCCAGAGAGAGAGAGAGAGAGAGAGAGAGAGAGAGAGGAGAGAGGAGAGGGAGAGAGAGAGAGATAGACAGACAGACAAACGGAGAGACAGGCAGACAGAAATATAGACGGAGAGAAAAACTTAACCCCTTTATTGTACGAAATTGCGCGTGGGGGAAATAAAGAGATGGGGATGAAGTGTGATTTGACGAGTTAAATTCCTAAAAAAAAAAGAACGATAAAAGGAACTGAAAAATTCATTCATAGTGTTAAATATGTAGAAGAGACGGCAGGAGCGTGTAAGAGAATCGAATGAAACTAAATAGCATTCATTTAGGATATACAATTTCCTCCTCCAGAAGCATTTATGTCAGGAAAGATCATTTCATCTTGTATTTAGCCAGCAAGTTTCACAAGCGAATTTTACATTTGTGAATTCAATTCTCTCTGGGAACTTCATAACCATGCTCTTGTGTCTAAGTGTTTTTCCCTTTCTAACTCGACATGTTCGTCGGCTGTCTCTTGAGTATGTAAGTAATTTCACGGTATTTACAGACTGGCTTTAGATACACACACGCCACCGTAATTCATAGATATTTGCCAGAGATGAGATATTTTGACGAAATAACTTAAAAATTGACGGATGAGAGGAAAAATTAGATCCATGCCTTTATCAAGAGCATCAGTATTTAATGAATTCTTAATTCTTCTGATTTCATTTTCTGCCTTAATATGCTTTGCAGTAACATGGCCGTCTTTATGCTTCGATATCTTTCTTCTTTTTACTTCCTAGCTCTCTCTCTGTGTCTCTTTTTCTCTCTCTCTCTCTCTCTCTCTTATATATATATATATATATATATATATATATATATATATATATATATAATGCTGGTGTTAAGAAAGCAGAATATTGTATTAACTCCGAGTCGTGCTGTTGGTTATCGGTAATATTTATATTTATTAATATATAATTTAGACGTATTATATATATATTTTTAGTTTTAATATTTTCAAGTTCAAGAATTAACTTTTTGGTGGCTGCAGAAAATTGTCCAAGAAAAATAATAAGATTTTCTTCAAATAATTTCTCAAATAATAAATTACGTTTAAATTATTTAACCAAACATGCTTGAATGAAAATATGCTTCTTAAATATATAGATTTTTATATATATATATATATATATATATATATATATATATATATATATATATATATATATATATATCAATAAAAATGACAATAGGAAAACTAGTAATTTGACAGCATTTCGTCAAATGGACTTTATCAAAGCAAAATACGATTTTGATAAAGTCCCATTGGACGAAACGCGTCAGCAATTACTAGTTTTTCTATTGTCATGCTTTTTCATAAATATTGTCTTCTCTACTGTTTAAATCGGAGAAATGTTTATATATATATATATATATATATATATATATATATATATATATATATATATATATATATATATATTGAAAAGTAACGGGACTTATACGTTCTTTGATACGAGTGGCATTGTCCATTGAATTCTTGCCACATTGCCAGACGATCAATTAGCAAGTTTTCGAAGATTTCCAATGGGGTTTGCTATGCTTAGTGCATAAGAACAGACAAGGATTGCGTGAGGACAAACCACGGCTGCTTCACGAGGGTAAGAATAATATCACCGTACTGAAACAACCTTACTATTCACCTGACCGTCCTCTGTGTGACATTTTTTTCCACCAAAGTTGAAGAGCATCAATCAAGTGGGCCCGTTTCGAAGGCATAGAGTACATCATGTGGGTCGTAGCCACGGAGCTGGGGGGACATCCAAGAAGAATCCTTCCAGCGGTGCATAGAGCATAGAAGCATGGCAGAGAGCGATGGAATAGAGCATTAGACTGGAGGTGGATTATTCTGATGGGGGAACTATGTATTTTTTTTTGTTTGGAATTGAAATAAATTGTTTGTGACACTAGTCCCGTTACTTTTCAAACAGACCTCGTATATTTATATATTCCCAAGATTATAGATGTTTGAATAAATGCTATGAAAGGAGATAGGCATAAAATCATGTAAAGAAGCATAATGATTAGATTTATGAGGTAAACGAATAGGAAATATCCTATTTGAGTAAGAGACTGAGCAACGGAAAATTGAAAATCTGAATACCGGCTACATCAGGAACATGAGAATACTAAAGCGACTTAAATTGATATGTATTTAAATCACCAAGCAGAAAAATGTTCGCAGATCACCTCCGGTGTGCAACACTGAGGCTACATTATGTTGCAGTCTGCGCCAGTATCTTCATGCCCATGTCACATACAATGACCGTTTGCTACTATTACAGTCAGTCAGTAGTTCACTTCTGAACCGACTGTTCGGTTGAACTGTCTGCCTTCGGGCGGGAGGGACCCGAAGGAGGCTACGCTGAAGGGCGGACTCGCTTTCGGGGAGGTAAACCGGCCCAGAACCCTTTTACACGGGTTCAATGGGCATATTTTTGGCCGAGGCCACGGGCTCGGAGATCACACGTTAAAAAGGCCTTGTATCACGTGACGCCCTCGTGGGTGGGGGTGACTGAATATCGTCTGCTACTTTTACATTAGGCCTTTTACTTACGAACATAACACAATGTGACTATAAACAAAAATAATAAAAAAACTAAACTAGCTCAAAAATATCACCTAATCACTCTACTTCCTACCCCCACATCCGTGGTATTCGTACCGTATTCTGCAGTGAGTAATTGTTCCTCTTAGAAAGGTCGCCTGATATACTAGCTCTCTGCGAGACTAATATTGTCAAACCCCTCCTATGAATTCCAGATTCCCGGTTACCTTCCCCTCTTTAGAAAGGATTCTAAAAATCCATCTGTAGGGCCTGCAAGATTATGTCCGCAATCATCTCCTGCTGGCGAGGGAACTCTCTTTGGAATCTCCAGACATATTCGTATATGTAAACCCGTCTATCTCTTCTCGATTCAATATGCTATCTCTTCTTTCTCTATCGTTCCCCTTCCTCTCAAGACTGCGTTGTACTCGATAGTATTTCTGATAATATATACAAGATCATCTCTCTATATTCGTTTTCGGTGACTTTGCCGCCCACTGTACCATGTACCTTAATCACTCGCTGGCATACAAACCCTTAACTTTTCAATCATTCAATCCCTCAATCAAGTAGTTGACTTTTCTACACTTTCCCCCAGCAACCCTGACGGTAACGTTTCCCTTCTAGATTACCTGTTATACCTCTATAGCGAAGAAAGCGGTGACTTACCTCGTCAAACCAAGCGCGTCGTGTGTATCCTACGACGGAAAATGTGGCGAAAAACAAAATGACTTACCAAAAAAAAGGGCACCTATTCCGCATGACATGCTGAAGACGGAATATTTAAATTAAAAAAAAAAAACAAAAAATAAGTCCGTCGTAGGAGTCGCTATAAAAGTATTTTGATATGCAAAAATTGGGCGTCCTTTCCCAGTTGTCGACGAATGGAAAAATGCTCGGCCGATAAAAGCAGTTGGTGTGGTCGAATCGAGGGTAAAAAGTTCGGGTATTTTTGCTACCGCGTTTGTTGGAGAATGAGTTATTTTTCTGACTGGTTGCGTGCATTGTGCTTTGTGAGATCGTACCTGCGAATCGAGTTTTCGGCATTTCTTTCTGCCCCCAATGTTCGAGTCTGAACTTACAGTGATTTATTCTCTGCGTTGTGGAAGTAAATCTGAGACAAATATTTCCTTTGCAATTCCAGATCGCTTACAATCTCCTTCCATGTTTCTCGTCGCGCTATGCAACTCTACCCTCTTGGCCACTCGATTAACATCTCCTTCCACTCCACGTCCAGCAATGACCCCCTACTAACAATATTGTATTATTAACAACGGACAGACTGGGACTCGTTCTGTGATTGCCTTCGCGACGTTCCTAGGAATTTGGTTTTTAATCATCCCGTTTAAAATGTTAGTCTGAGGTCTCCTCCTGGGTAAAAACCGGCATCGAGATTTTCATCCCAGCACGAAAATAAAAAGTTAAATCGTTTTCATCTCCGTGATTCACTGCCGCTTGCTCAGACGTTATTGCCCATAGGAATCACTTGTTCAGTCAGTACCGGAGTGACATCTTTGATTGTAACCACGCCTCTTTGTCTCTGCTCGTAATGAGTGCAACCGTTGCCCTCAATGAAACAAATTTACTACTTGCTGATAGAATGAAAGAATGTATTGCATCTCGCATGTTTGGTTCTAAAGATTATTAGCGTACAACAGTAAATCCGCAATCCCTCCTCTATTCAATTAATTCAAAGTCCTAACTGCCACAGCTGAAAAGGCTGCATGCTTTGCTCGGAAATCTAACTCAACTCACGACTCGTTCGGAATACCCACACCTGATTTTTCCTCTAGAACTGAGGCTCTATTGAGTAAGATGAATATAACCCGTCGAGGATACTGGGAATCATCTCTAAATTAAATTCCAATAAAGCAAGTGGTGATGACAGGATGCCAGCTGTAGTCCTAAAGGAATATACTTCTTAGCTGGCTCCACTTCTCTTCAAACTATATAACTATAGCCTCGCTGATTCTCGCTTTCCAACCTGTTGGAAAACCTCATCTATTGTGCCTGTTTTTAAGAACACTGGAGACCTTTATGACCATCTAACTACCGTCCTATCAGTCTCCTATCACACTTCAGCAAAGTCTTCTTGGCTTTAATAAATGCCGAAATGGTTAAGCACCATACTTCACATGATCTACCCTCTGAGAAACAATATGATTTCCGCTTTGTCCGACCTACTGATGACGTGCTTACGGCCATAACTACAATTGTATACCAATCTCTTGAGAATAACAACGAAGCTCGAGCTGTTGCTCTAAATATCTCTAAGGCCTTTGATAGAGTTTGCTATGCCTGCCTTCTACGTAAGCTTCAGGGATACAGTATTACAGGATGATTATTTGATTAAATCCTATCATTCTTATCAAACGGTGAAATGAAGGTCGTCTTAAACGGGTTCTGCTCCAATTCCATTCATACAAACGATGTTGTTCTCCAAGGCTCCATCATGGGTCCTACATTGTTTCAGATCTTCATCAACGATCTTCCTAATGTCATCAGTTCTCAAGTAGGCATTTACGCAAACGACACCACAATTTAATCCTGTCTCAGTAATCAATCAGGCATTGCTGACAAAGTTAACCTGGACGTTGGTCTCGAAAAGGATACCCAATCTCTGCATGACTGGGACAGGAAATCGCTTGTAAACTTGTTCTCATTTATTCACCATAGAGAAACCTCCCTACCTCCAATCAGCAAGACTGATGCTCAAGTTCAAGAGAGCGTCTCTCTGCGCCATCTTGGTCTCAAGTTTTCCACTTAACTGTGGTGGAACAAGTACATTGAATCAATAGCTTCATCTACCGCAAGGAAAATAGGTTCTTTGTGTCGCGCTAGAAGGTTTTTCTCGTCTGAGTCCATCCTTTAAATCTACAAATCTACCATTCGACCTTGCATTGAATACCGTTGCCATATACAGTCTGGTACCCCCGCTGTTCATTTTGAGGTTCTCGATAAAATCCAAAGATGCATATGCGATATGATAGGTCCTGACGTGGCACCTCGACTCCAGTCATTTTCTAACAAACGTAATGTGAATTACCGCTGTCTTTTCTAGAAATAATTTCATGGCAACAGGTCTGACGAGCTATTTTCATTGGTACTTCAACTACATGAATTTATGTGAGCTACTAGATTGGCATCGTGGTTGAACCCATTACAAATGAAACAGTTAAATGTAAACCGCCTCTTCTACATCAACATCTTCTTCTTTCGCACCTCCCAACAGAGCTTACTTGCTTCTCTGATAACTATAATCTTCAAAAACTTAACTGTAATGTCAATCGGCACATCCAGAGAGAGAGAGAGAGAGAGAGAGAGAGAGAGAGAGAGAGAGAGAGAGGGAGCGAGAGAGAAATATAAAGAGGGAGAGAGAGAAAGTATTTCCAGCGTTTTCTTTTTACATCACTGTATATAAAACATGATATAAAAATTTATATTTTATATATATATATATATATATATATATATATAGAGAGAGAGAGAGAGGAAGAGAGATAAAGAGGGAGAGAGATAGGAAGTACCTACAACATTTTTTGTACATCACTGTATATAAAAAAATGATATAACAATTTATATATATATATATATATATATATATATATTTTTTTTTAGAGAGAGAGAGAGAGAGAAAGAAAGCGAGATAAAGAGGGGGAGAGAGAAAGCGTCTACAACATGATATAACAATTTATATCCACTCGTATATCCACTCCTGCCAGTTGCGGCTGTTTTTCTGAAAGTTGCCATTTGCAATCTCGATTTTAAGTAGGTAATCATTTTGTCTGGTACAAATACAAAACGATTTCAGTCATCAAGAGTGTTCAATAGAAAAAAAGAAATACGTCGTGTTGGACAGGAATAATGGCGACTCGGACAAGAAATGTAATACGTTTATGAGTCATGTTGTTGTCTTCTCAAATAGACTGTATTCAAGGTCGATTGTGGCTAGCTAATGATGACAGTAAGACCACATATTAGATGCAAGAGCGCACCCTTTCTGCTAAACATATGAAAGGGCCATAGGCTTTCTACACCTTGTTTTCACTTCTTAGTTTGAATTGGGAACCGTTACCTAAGGACATATTTTCAAGGGAAACTAATAAGAGCCAAATAGATAAAGCAATGAATCCTCGTCGTGGTTACAGGAGAAAATCGAGAGATTGCCGCAAATAATAATACTCGTTTATCACTTTTCAGAATGCCGAGGAAACGCTTGCAAGGACAACATTCCACCGATGGCCCAGGACACTGCAACTGCTTAGTCTCATTCATCCACCACTTGCTTTACAACTTAGAGCGATATTTCGATCTGATGTATTTACCAAGCCTTCCCGATCGATTTAATATCCCTGAATTATGCCTGGTGAATATTCCGGTGCTAACGATTTGACTTAGGATTTCAATGGCCACACTAATAACAATGCTGATATTCATATTGCAAACAATTACATAATGGGAGATGTTCAAATTAGTTTGGTATTTCTGAAACATCATATAATTTAATGGTGATTATTTTTTGCAAAATCATCATGATTAATTAATGATATGAATTCATTATATATTAATCTAATGTAATATAATATTTTAATATTTTATTAATTATGTTAAACATGTTGCACAATATGATAAATGAGAAATATTTATTTTGTTTTTTTTTATTATAAAAAATATTATCAAGTGTTATGATTTTTATATACATTTCAATATTTAGGAATCCATATTAATATTAAACTTTTAAGGATTTTTTCACGTACCGACTTCAAAAATATACACAAGAGACATATATATATATATATACATATATATATATATAGAGAGAGAGAGAGAGAGAGAGAGAGAGAGAGAGAGAGAGAGAGAGAGAGAGTGTGGGAGACACATACTTACATCCATGCATCTATGTATGTATGTGTATATATATATATATATATATATATATGTGAAGAAAGATAGTCTTAAGATGTGCTATATTTATGGGCTAAAGTACTCAATATCAGAGATAGAGCGTATGTAAATATAAAAGTGAACATAGAAGTCAACACTTAGAGGTGACAGTCTGTTTCATGCTAGATGCGTATATATATGTAAATAGCCGAGAAAAATAACAGCACTCGTGGCCTGACGATTGCATCTAGCACGAAACAGACTGTCGCTTCTAAGTGTTGACTTCTATGTTCACTTTTATATTTATATATGTGTGTGTTTGTGTGTGTGTTTGTGTGTGTGAATGTGTTTGTGTGTGTATGTGATAAATAGGAAAATATATAAACGACGCGTTTCGCTGATGTTTGTTGGTTTCAGCTCCTTCATGTTAGAATGAAAATAACAAAAGTATGTCTAATGAAAATGTATTGGGAACCCTTAGGATAAGAGGTGTCATAAATTACCTTATCATATCCGACGACCAGGAAGCGGAAAGTGTTTGTTGATATATATATATATATGTATATATGTGTGTGTGTGTGTGTGTGCGTGTGCGTGTGTGTGTATGTTACAAGCGTATATCTTTCCTTGATTTTAAACTAGCTCACTAAACCGAGAAATAAATTTATTTATTAAGACCATTTTTCTTAGACAGAATTTTGTCTTTCATTGTGGCATGAAGAAGCCTCAGTGTAAATGATAAACAATAACTTGGTCATTTGTGATGTGCTGGTTGATAAGTGCACTAAATTCTGACTAGTGACAAGTTAACTTCATTCTCTTTAAATTTAATAAACATATCTTATTTTTTTAAAGGCAGTAAAGCCACTAAGACACAAGTGTTTACAGGGTGTAGACGAATTAGAAATAGAAAAATTAATAATGAGCGGGAAGAGAAAACAGTATTGAAAGCATGAAACTGGAAGGGACAAGCGAGAGAAAAAAATAATCTTAGAATACAGTGTTACGTCTAGTCAAGTCATTTGTAAATTGATGAGATCTCAACGCCAGTCTAGTACTGCGCTTAAATGAAAATGTCTGTGTACCATAGCGAATAGCTGATCCAAAAATTATCATGAAAATGTTTATAGAAAAGACACAGAGGTACACTTACGACGATGAGAAAGTAACTGAAATTGGGCCGTCAGATCAGGAACAATAATATCGCTGATTTTTCTTTCTATAGTTATTCTATAAAAAAACATTTGACTTTTCTATGCAAGACAGATATATTATTTTGTCTTTTAGCGCATCTAAAAAAGTTTACTAAGTTCGTATGAAAAATCCTTTCTACTCTCTTCATTTCAAAAATCACTTTCTCCGAGTTGGTTTTAAATAAAAGTCACACTAATCTCGACTTGAAAAATGTGCGATTTCCTCAACCTGGAGCAAATATTTGTGTGCCACTTTCGCATTTCATTGTTACTGTATCGAAACCTGAATTTCAAATACTCAGAGTCTACCCTGAACCCTTGTGCCCTTATGTCAGAAATAGCTAAGCTTATTAAAGCCACATTTTTATCTCTCTAGACACGTTTGCCTTGATTTATGAGACAAAGTTAAAATCAGAATAACCTTTTATTTCCAGGCATATCATTCCGAGTCAATTTGCTTCCATATTCTCTTTCATGGTAACTGGACCGTTTAGAGTTTATTAACCCGTTCATGAACCAGAATGCTTTTTCCTCATTGCCAATGAAGAACTGTTTCATCTGGAGTCACTGTGAAGTGATAAACCTTCAGGCGACAACATCGCATTATATAATCACGCGATGAACAAAGGGAAATAATTCAGTGTGTTGAGCGGCTTGAACAATGTCTACAGGAGGTTTATTGTTAATGATACAATGAACACTTTTGCGACGAAATAGTCATATATCTACCCTGGGATATATCTATCCACATATGAACTGATTTCTGTAATTACGAAACTACTAAATTGTCCCAGAGTGAAGGCGAAAAACAATATAATGATCTGATTAAATAACGAAATTAAGAAAACAACATTTTGTTTTACTTGTCTGCTATACACAGTATCAATAATGTTTGTGATTTAATAATTATTTTTCAGGTTTCATATAGTCATATAATCTTTCTTTATATCGGTTCACCTGCTTTTCCTCTTTTCTTTCTCTCGCTCTTCATATATATATTGTTAACAAACAATACTATAAAGAGTAGCTACAAAAATACATTTGGATCTACAATTATTTCCACACAATAGTCCCTAGAAACATTTTAGCCATAACTTTTCCGCCTACACAAAAAGCGTTAGAATAATATAATAAACCTACCCATAATGCAACTTCGACCAGCATCGTTGAGCCACAACACAAAGCACATGGTCTGGCGATTGCGTTTAAACATTAAACAGAATGTCGTCGCCGGTTGTTAACGTTTGTGCCAACTTTTGTATTCACATATGCGCTATCCCTGATATTACTCACTTTAACCCATAAATACAGTATAAATTAAAATTAAAGTTTTTATCATCCATGCATATATATATATATATATATATATATATATATATATATATATATAATTGCGAATTTGTACAGCAATGACTCTTTTATAGTTGTTTCATTAAAGATGATTTTCAAGTTACAGAGTTTAAGCTTTTTATTCAATTTTTCTTATATTCTTATTTTATCTTCTCTGAGTATAATGTGTGCAAAAATTCCGATAGCTCTACATATAAGCCATTATTAATATTCTTTATTTCAAAATGAATGTGTAGATTTTGATATGCATATACAGTGATGGAATGTTTTTTTTACCAACCTTGGGGACCTTATTCATAGTTGATGTTACTGAGTGATGGCTTTTTCTTTTTTTCTTTTTTACTATTAATGATTCCACAATATTTAACTGTCTTTTACATGTTAATGATGCAGGTATAGGTGTCTTTTCTTAATATATATTTTCTATATTGATATAAATACATAATAATTACGAGAGTCAGGTGAGGCAGTTTGCAAACAGCTCAACTCATGAATAAAAAATAAGCCTAAATGTACACCCTGTTTCTTGAATTATTGCAGTTTTCGCATTGACAAAAAAAATAACAAGCGTAATCAAAGAGAATGTCATTTCATTCACTCCCCCCAATCTCTCGGCATCACTTTTTTTATTTGTTCATTACTTACACTAATTGTATTAGTAACATAAAGGTCATCATGGATTTTTATTTAATATTGGAAACATTTCAAGTCCATTTTTACTGGTATTTAACATAATTTGAGTAAATATTCATCACATCTAGACAATATTTAGTGCACGTCGATCAATAACAGTTGTGATGATCAATCAATTAACATTAACATGAGTGCATGAGAAGTCTACTGCTCTATAATTCATTTCTAGAGATTCAATTCCACGGTTGTGTTCGATCAAGGAATTACAAATGCCATCTACCTGTTTTTGGTTCTGTAGTCAATGATTGTATGCTTTTAGCACAATATAACAAGCTGTTGTTATTTAAGAGGCGAGTTTGGAAGCATATTATTTTATTTAATTTTATATAAGAATGCCCGAAACTTGTTTCATCTATAAAAATGCTTGCGATCGTAAACAACGAAAAATTCAATAATTTATTTATGACATATTCATCATATTTAAAATCTATATCCACGAATAAAGGCAAAAATAAAGAAATATCTACGTAAAAGAATATATTGAAAATAAAATCGATCTTTTACATTTTTCCTTATTCACTTTTCTTATTTGCATTCTTGTCAATAAAAATTATGTAAATTTTATTAGTCTAAAACAAAAGTAGAAAAGCACACGACAGGTTGAAATTCAATTTAAAATAGAAACATCGCTCAACATTTCTAAGACGAAACAAACGATAAATAGAATTATATGCTATATAACGTCTCAGAAAATCGGAAAATAACAGTAATTGGAGACAGTTTTATTTCTCTCAATTTACTCTGAAAAAATAGCCGATGATCGTTTACAAAACTGCTATTTGGGAATTGGGCATGTATTTGATATAAAAAGGATAATGTCGAGTATTCTAAGCAGTGTTGTCTTATCTCCATCCTTCGCCGTCTTCCTTGGAAAAAAGCCAGAGATTTGTCATTAGCATTACACGACGTCTTATTTGGATCAATCCTCTCATCTTTGTTATAAGCATTCATACATTTCGAACAGTATATTCTTTAACCATTCTTATAATTTAATGTCATTTTTAGAAAACAAAAGAGAAAATATAAGGCGGGCATTATTAGCTTTCAGTTTTCGTTTTGCAGGCGTGGAAAAATATTGTTTGAAATGAGACATTTTCTTTCTTGTATTAAT